TTGAGCAGCCTCTTTCCAATGACCGTATGAAGGCAGGTGATTCAGCAAATTCATTTTTCAGAGTGTCAAAGGGAATCTGAAATTCACATCTATACCCTAGTCAGAGAAAGCTGGTTTGAATTCAGAATGTTTCTTCTCCTAGACTGGTAACCACCCAAGGCTATAGAACCTAGTCTGTCCTGCTATTTACCCATAACTGCGGTGGGAGAAGAAATGGATTCATACCTTTCCCAAGGGTATTAGCACGTAAGTGAATATAATGAATTTGATTCTCCAATTCCTCAATCTGAGCTGCTATCCATTACTCCACTGTGCCTCCAGGTTATCAAGAGTTAGGACTATTTCAAAAATGACCTCACAGGGTCCAATCTCAAAGTGACACTGTTGTCTCTATCCTCTTTTACAAAGAGCAATATGGGTATAATGAGGATTTGTCTCAAGGAGATCTGATTTTTCAACAAGTGGGTTGTATTTTAATTGTTTGACATTATGCCTCAAAAAGAAAACAATATTGGAATACAATATTCAATTGTCAATCACCATTGGAAATTAAGGATTCAAATGAGTAGTATTATTAGTGATCAATATTAATGTGCATATTGAATATAATGTATCTTTTAAGACAAGCCCTCAATGAGTCATAGGCAAGTGTTGTGATTTAAGTGCTGATATATAATTCCTATTTTCACACTGCCCATTGTCTTGAGGCTTATAAGGGATGATCTGGCTATTGGAAATGCATAAACTGTCTTCCATTTGATGACATGAATTAAGTACTTCTGTCCAACTACATGAATGTAGGCATGCCAAAAATAGGAAATAATTGTCTAAAATACCGGACCATCAAGAAATTGAACAAACAAAAGCAAAGGAAAAGGGAGAAAACTCATCTATTATTAAATACCAGATAGTTGAAGTTGACTGGAAAATGCCTTTAAAATGCACATTCAAATGCTAGTTTCCTTGATCAAATTTGATATACCAAGCCAGTGATACTTTGGTTTGCACTTTGTGTAAATGAGGTACAAGTTTAAAACATTTTTCATCATCAATAGAGAAATAGTAAGTTTCTTGTTCTAACAAAGTATCCTGAATAACAAAGAGAAATATGCAATTTTAACTAACACACTGAAAGCAACAGAAACAAAATATGCCCAAGACAAAATATCTGCAGTAATGTTATCTTTCCCAGGGTGGTACTTTCTGTCAAAAAGTAATAAGCAAATTCAATCATCCATCTTTTAATTTCATCTTGGTTTTATTTGTCCGCTTAGAATCAAACATGGATAACAATAATTTCTGATCAGGAAGATGAGTAAAGTGGCATCCAGTCAAGTAGTGTTTTTACCTGCACACAGATTCTACTATAACACAAACCTCTTTTCATAATTTTTTTTTTTTTTTATTATTCACTAGTATTGAACAACTTTAACCTTTACCACACTGCAGGCAATGATAGTCGCCGTAAAATTGTTTCCTTTTACTGCTCTAGGTGTATTCTGTCACCTCGAGACGGTTGCTAAAAATACACAGTTGTCAACTTGCTATTTCCGGTATTTTAAGCTGAAAATCACCTACTACTGCTTCGGAAGAAGGTTAAACTTCCATTTTCCAATGCCATTTTGAATTCTTCTAGACACAAGGTGTAACATCAATTCAGACTCACATTAATTTTTCGTGATTTTTTGTAAACAAAAATGGCTGTGTCAATATCCAGCAAAGCCTTTATTCAGGAGTTTTTCTTTGATTAAGACGATGATGATTTTGAAGGTTTTACTCAAGTGGATATTTATGGTGAAGTGGTCAAAGATGATAACTACACTACTGACATGGAGGAAAATGATGATGACCACTAGTGGCTACTATCATCCATGTCTGACTAATTTTATGGATGCTACTGGCGACCATCGATATAACAAATAGCTTTTCTGAAGCTGAATCATTTTGTCTATTTATAAATGACGAAATAACTTTATTCGTCAACAAGACAAAAAATAGGAGTCAGGTGAAAGAAAGAAACAAATGCTAGTGTTTTCTTGTATGTAGACACGTCATTTTTGAGGAAATGAAAGCCTTAGTGATTTTGCTTCTTATTACGCCCCAGAACTCCACACAGTAATAAAAGTTAAAGTATGTTGAATTATTTATGTATTTTTTTTTTAATGTATTTGCTTTTTATTTTGCGTTTCAATTTTGTGTTTTCAACGTCAAAACATGCATGCAAAATGTAATAATGCATTTCATCAAAATATTACTCATTCTTTTATTAATGTACAAAAATTAAAATCTATACGCACAATACAAAGAAAGTTATAGCAATTTTAAAACAGGAGGTGTTTTTGCACCCTCAAAAAAAAAAAAAAAAAAAAAAAGTAGTAGCAGGGGGGAACAATTTTAGAAAGGATTTAGCATGGTAAAGGTTAAAAAGAAAGTCACTGCTCTCTCAAATTGATTTAAGGTAACAGTAATATTATGATCAGATGTGTCTATCTTGATAACAAAGGGAATTGTTTCAGCAACAGGATGCACCACAGCATTTTCTATTTATGCTTCTATTCCAGTTTCCCCGCGATCTATAATCTCCAACTATTCAAATGTAATGTCAATTGATATCTTCAGTTGCCTTGATCTATCCACTATCCTTCTTCTCATCCTTTCCTCTATCACTCCTATCTGATCTTGTTCCAAATCTTCTGTAACCCCTTGCGTCCTAGTGGCTTACTGCCTTGCTTAGGGTGAAACGCTAAAAAAAAAAAAAAAAAAAAAAAAAAAAAAAAGAAGAAAAAAAAGCAATCTGGAATAGTGTAAATGTATTACCGTGAAGAGGAACAATCTTCCCAAAGTAACTGGAAATCCAATAGAAATTGAACATGTCTATAACAATGTAGTGAATTCATATTCTGAAGAGGAGGATGTTCTTTTAGTGGTCAAAGCCTTTTGGGATTAGATTTAATTTTTCCCCTCAGAAATAGTAGAACCAGAAGATCCATGGAAATTGAAAAGAATGTGTACTTATGATTAACAGGCCAAGTTTAACATCTCAGTAAATCTCCTGGGATTAATGTCATGTTCTTTATTTTTCCCAACACATACATCACAGTCTGAGACTAATCAATTATCATTCTTTCCTTGTATTTTTTAAATTAAGGCAAAGAGAAGTGTCTGACTCAATTATCCCTTTAGAAAGTAGCCTCTTCACCTTATTTGCAACAATTATTTTTTTTTTTTTATCAGGAGAACTAGATTTCCTTGAATAAGTAACTATTGGTGTACAACTGTTCATAAGATTAACAAGGAGGTGAGAAGGACAAACAGAAAATAGAGTCATCCACATGCATTTAATGGAATTTTACATATATGTCCTGGTATTGCTTCATTAAATCCTGTCCGGAGATGACATCAGCACATAAATTACATTCTAATAATGACATCCAATACCCAAGCTCTACATCTATATATAAAGTTCAGTGACTTCTGTTGGTTCATCCATCACACTCTCTAAAATAGCCATATATTGACTGATCAAACCAAATTTTGGGGTGAAGTGCAAACAGATAAGGAAGTACAAAGTACAGGAGATTTTACAAAGTACAGTTGCATAGCTTCATACAATAAATATTCATTTATATTTTTGGAAAAATTAAAAGTTGTATTATTTAACAAAATATACTATTTTAAATACAATTTAACAATTAAAATAAAAAAATAAAATTGTTTTTTTTACATATCCTTTAAGTTTTATATATATATATATATATATTTTACAAGAATCCAGTTTCAAGTCCAAATACAATTTAAGAATTTATTAAAAAGAAAAATATTGTTTACCATGAAGTCTTATAAAATATTTAGGTTTTTTTTTTTTCAAACATTGATTGTTTTTTTTAGCATCAACAATCATTTCAACATGTTTCTTGCAAAAAAAAAAAAAAATTCTAGTCTATATTAAATAACAACAAAAAACAATCACACTTATTATATGTGTATACGTTTATATATATTGGATATATATAGTTATACCGATTTCAACAAAATTTCACAGGACTACATAAAATTACCTTTTGTGGTGGTTCTGACAGTGCCAAAAATCAATTGTTTTTCATGAAGTCAAACATGATTAAAGGCATTGCTAGAATGAAAGGGGGACAACTCATATCGAGTTATACTTATTATAAAACCAGGTTGTTGTGAGTGTGTGTGTTCGTTTATATATGATTTCCTACATTTTTGAGAGGTAAGAAACTTTTTTTTTTTATTTTTACATTCAGAATTTAAAAATTCCATTTACAAGACAATTGTTTATAATAAAAAAATTCTAGTTCATAATTGAAAACAGTGTTTTTGTTTGAATATCTGAAAAAAAAAAAAAAAAAAAAAATTTTAGACGTGTGTCTATCAACCTTCTTTGCAATTTTATTTTCAGTCAATCTATCTTCATTGTTACATCCCCGGCAAAGTTGAGTTCTTAGATGCAGTATGATAAATTTGAGAAAATAAATTAAATATTAGTGATAACTTCAACAATACTAAAACCAGGATATCTGCAAAAAAATTCTAGTTCATAAAATAACAGCTAAAATTTTAGAACAATGAAGTTGATCTTAAATTGGAACCAGGATATCTATGACATAGAAAAATGTCACTGTTATCTCTATCCATACATTCTTTGATCCTTTAATGTTGGTAGTAGTGATAGATAAAAATGCTGAGGTACCTATCAACATGACAAGAATTACAAATAAGGTATTGTTTACTGGCATATCAACTTTGTGGGTCATTTCATGTTGAATTAAGAATTACAAATAGAAGTTGCATTGTTTTTGACTGACTGAGTCATTTTCTAATTGCTAATAAATCCATAGCTGGGGGAGGGGGAGAAGTAGATTCATACTATTCCCAAAGGTATTTGCACACAAATGAATACAACAAACCCAATGGGAATAGGAACTTGGCACTACAATTAAAAATTCTGAGCTATTATTACCACCCACACATCCAAGCTTACAGCACCTGATATTCTCAAGCAGTCACCCATCAAGGTATTGACCAAGCTCAATGTTGCTTAACTTTGGTGATCATATGAGAACTGGTGTTTCAATGTGATGTAGTTGTAAACCAAAAGGTTCTAGATCTTCTTGAATGACAATACTTTCTAAGATTGCCCTTTTTGCCAAATTGAGCTTCTTTTGAACAATTCTGATGAAAGTGCCAATTCTTACCACAGAAGAAATATTTATGTCCCGTAGAGACAGCAGCCAATGTTTGGTTTTCAAACAAATCACTCACTATGAGCGCATGTATTTAGAAGGAGATTCTGTTGCATTAATAGTTGTCTGTAATATAGAGTCTGATTCTGAACTCTTTTGAGACTCTTCCAGAGCTGTTCTTTGATCAAAAGATAATTGTAAGATCTGAAGAGTGTTGCTCAATAGCCCAAAGAAAATTGTTGAATGTAGTATATACCACTCCTTAGCAACAGAACTTGATTTAGGAGAAGTTTCAAGCCTTTCAGGTCACAGGGACCTAATCTATGAGTCAGTTGTATTTATTTCAATAAATTGCAGTAGGACCCAGATTTATTTCTGAGGATTTATTTTTTTTATGACTTATCAACCTTTTGCAGGTTATTTAAAGCCATAAAATATTTTTAGATAAGAAATTTTTGGAGATAATTATTTAATGATACAATTCCTGCTAATTAGACAATAGTTGTCGAGGGAAGAAGTACATTCATATCTTTCTCAAAGGTATTTGTGCATAAGAGACTATAACAAACTTTGGTCTCTGATTTACAATTCCAAGACATTATACACATTGCACTAATCACCCATCCAAGTTTACGGCACCTGGTATTATCAAATAATCATCTATCTACCAGATCTAACATTATTTAACTTCAGTGATTGTATGAGAACTGATTTTTTGAATATGATATGGCCGTAACGAGGCATGGTGGAGTAATGGGTAACAGCTTGGATTTAGGAATCTAAAAGCCAAGTTTGAATTCCAGTTGAATCCATGGCATTCACTTATGTGCTAATACTCTTGGGAAAGGTATGAATCCTCTTCTCCCCCCAGCTATGGGTAAATAGCAGGACAGACTGGGTTCTATAGCCTTGGATTGCAACTAGTCTACCACAGAAAGAAATGGCAACCTATTATGGGGAAAAAAAATCTGCCTTGTCAGTGATGTATCAAAAGATACATGATCACCTAAGCGTGCATCATGAATGGCACATAACTGAGGGCCGTAAGCCTCATTTCTGAGGAAATACTACAAAGAATATGTTAATGCACATGATAGTCATATTGCAGCATTTCAGTAGGAAACAATGTCTACAGACTTCACTTGAGAAAGCATCAAAATACACATGCATTTTTGTCAGCCATGATGCTTGTAATTCCGCACTTAAAAACCGGAAGTGTCATTATAATATTGAAGACTGAATAACAAACAAAGCTACCACAGTAAGAGTTGTGAGAAATAAAGTAGAATTCTGATGTATAGGTCAGTCTGTTAAAGTCATAAGTTTATTCACCTTTGAATATATCAACAGGCTGACCTTTTAACTTAACACTGATAGAAATGATTGCAAAACAGACAAGCAAATATGTAACTAATAATATAGAAAACAATTTATAGCAACAAAAGTTTATATGCACATTAAGAGGAGGCATAGGATATGGTTTTTGATAAAGAAACATATGCAAACATCTATTCCAGAACAATGTATTACAAAAAAATGACAATCCTAGTATTAATAATACCAATTTTTATAATACCAAGCATAATAATACAGTTAATAACTAAAATTGTTATTCTCATCACTATGACAATCCTTTACAATAATAATAATCTGATGCCCACTGATTACCAGAAGTTGATTGATATAATTTGGGGGATTCTTTTGCCTTTCAGAACAACTAAGAAATAGGATTTAAAAGAAACACAAGGGAAATGCAGCATGAGTAAAATATGGTTATCCTCTGATGATAACAGGCTTAATTTGAAAGTAAATTTTCGTCCTTTCAGGATGTTGGCAATTATGGTTCTCCACAATTTCCTGTCTTTTGTAGCTCTTAATAAATTGTCTTTTTTTATCTCTCTTTAACCTTGTTCTGCCATCCAGTAACTCAAGCTTAATAGGTAGGTTATGTGTTGCTTTCTTCTGTCGCTCTTCCCTTCAATATGTCCTGTGAGTATAAAATTTTCCAAGCCCTCTTTTCTTAACATGTGCCCTAGAAATTTCAACTCTCTTTCTGATGTTAGGAAAATGTAAAAAAAAATTGTTTACATTTTCTTGAAAAATTTTGTTGTTGCTACCATGTTTGGTCAATGGTATTCTCAGAATCCTTTTCTAGAACAGACTCCCAAGAGGATGTTTCCCTGACCAATACAATCTTAACTTGTTCAAATCTAGAGTTAACTGTTATCTCCCCTGCCTATCCGTATAAACTGCCACTTAATGTAACCATCTACCATGAGTAGCCTCTGGGCCATGTACAGAGTGAATATACTGTAACAAAAAAAAAAAAAATATCTCCAGATAATTCTCAGAATGTTAAGTTTAATTTCTTATGAATTTCCAGCTGCTTCTACTACTGTTCAAAACCAAAAGAACCACAAGATATTCAATTTGGAATCTCTGTATATTTCTATTTCTTGAACGATTACTTCTATGATAAACATAGTTTGACCAATATAGCATTGATCAGTTTGTTTTATTTTTCTTTGTATAGTGAAACTGATGATTAGAATCGACAAAGATATTAAGAAACAGAATTTTGCCACAGGCATTCATTTCAAAATTCAACTTAATTTTACTCGGAAATAAACTGAAGATTAGAATTTCATTTTAATTATTAACAACTAAGACATTTCTGCTTTCATGTAAAACCCGGAAAAGAAGATTCAAGGGAGGTCACCCTACACCTCTACTGGAAATATGAACACTTACTCTACCGACATAAATAAACAGACATTTCTTGCAGGATAGTAAGTATAATTTTAGATAACAGTAAAGAATATCATATACATTTGTTTAAGTACAATAGTTACTAAAATATTAATAAGTTTTTAATATTTAAGTTAAAATACTGTTAGATCTTGTAATATACTAATGACATCCAGTGTAATGTACATATTTAGTCAGGTAAAATCTGTAGTTTGATTAATAGAATATTCAATAACTACCATTATTTTGGTTATTTTTATGAACAACAATAAATAAAAATCTGAGTGCACGCATATTTAATTAGAGATAAACTATTTAATATCGTCATCATGTGAATTACGTATAATATAATTCAGTTCCCAATATTTCCTCTAATATAAAACAAAAATACAATTAGACAAATCATTAGAGATATAATAACTAAAATGATAGAAAGTTTCTTATCTGAGCAGTGTGCATATTTTAGAATTGAGACAAGTCATATGATGATCAGCCAATTTTAACTGATGATAGCTTGAATCATGCCTAGTAAATTTCATTATTCTATCATGAAAAGACAATAATATCAATATTTGGAATATGAAGGCCTCTCCTGAATTTGAAGTCATTTATATTACATGGAATTGCAAGAGAAAACACAAGATATAATTGAGACATTTAGAGGTATTAACAAATAAACAAAGAAGTTTTTTTAATTAAAAAAAAATTGGATAGAATTTTTTTTTTTAAATTACTGCTTCAACATAAGCGAGAGAAAATAAAATAAAAAAAATAATATAAAAAGATAGTCCCAAGACTAAAAAAACAAGGAGAAAGAAAAACTAGCAACAGAGAATGAAACCAGTTTTCTTCATATTTACATAGTTGCCAAACTATTTCAATAAACCTCTTAGGTTTCCTGAGATTTTTCGAGGATATACATTTAAAAGATTATTACACCTATAGAGACTGATTTTAAACAGAGCAAAATAATTTTAACTACTTCTGCTACAAATTCTGAACAGAGAATTATGGTGAATGACAGGTGAAAATCATTTTACCAACTTGTGCAATTCCCAGAGGAAAATCAAAACTTTAATTTTGATTCTTTTATTCTAATGATTACATATTTTATGGAAAGAAAGTGATAAATAATCAAAAGAGGAAAAAATGTTCATAATTTTACTGGAGATTTTATAATCTATATACACAATAAATCAATAACTTTGTTCTTTAGTTGCATAAAGCATAGATGTGCATTATTCAAGAAGAGACTTGAAAAAATAAAAATAAATCAAGTTCACTCGCATGTTAACATTTTAAGGTGTACACATTTGTAAAGAACAAGTGTTTTACATTTGAATGATTTTAAAAAACATATAGTTAATAAAAGTAACAAGAAAAATATTTCTAATATATAAGCAGAATATTAAGAAACGGAAAAATTTCATTAGAAACAAAGAAAAGAGTACTGAACTGTAATTGTTACCCTCCCAGTAAATGCTGGACAATCACCTCACAGATGAAGCAACAGAATTATGGACAATCACCTCACAGACTTGAAGCAACAGAAATATGGTTCTACAAAATTTGTAGGGTATGTAATGAAGATGGCTTGGAAAATTTGATACTCATAGGACATATTGAAGGCAAAAAGATATAGAGGAAAACAATGCATAGCCTTCTTAGTGAGCTTGAATGAATGGATGGTGGAACAAGGTTTATGAGAGATAACAAAAAGACAAAATTTATTAAGAGGTATAAAAGACAGGAAATTGTGGAGAGCCATGATCACAAACATCCAAAAAGTGAGATGGCACATAGAAGTTTAGCATCAATATTTTCCTTAAAGTCAATATCTGATATGATTTATTATCAGATTGTGTGTGTGTGTGTGTGTATATATATATATATATATATATATATATATATATATATAGAGAGAGAGAGAGAGAAATGAATTTGGATAAAAAAGTCTGAAGTACATGTTACAGTCATTGCAAGACTTGCTTTCATAAGCATAAAAAAGCAGGTAATAAATACAGTAGATGAATTAATACAGGTAGCTTCTGACCAAAAGGGAAAAATATTTCAGTCATATGTATAACTTTATTTTGTTAAGACATAAAATGGTTCAGATATGATGAATAGTCAACAGTGGTGAC